AGCTCATTCATTCATTGAGTAAATGTTTATTGACTACCTAATTTCTTCAAGCACTGTGATTTCAGGTGCTCAAGATAAGGAAGTTAGCAAAATCAGATAAAATTCTCTAGGAGTTTACAGTCTAAAGAGGGAAAAGGATACCACTCAAAGAACTACACACGTGATAACTGTATTATATGTTGTATTATACACATAAATGTGATAGTATTTTATAACATAGTGAATGATTTAAAGAAGTACAGTTGGTTCACACTTAATATTGTTGAAAGGATCTTGGAAACTGGAACTTCTAGTGAAAAGATAGATAACCAGTTTTACCATAGAGTATTTGATATAAACAGGTGTTAAGTTCCTAAGACTAATTTGTGGTCACAAAAACATCACCTGACTTTTAAATAAAGACCCCCAAACTTCTAATATTAAACAATAATTTGTGCTCACTCACTCATTTTCCAACCCACTTTTCCACTTCAGGGACAAGATGGCCAGAGCTGCTTCCAGCAGCTCAGGGCACAGGGTGGGAACCAGCCCTGGACAGGATGCCCTCCAACTGCTGGGTATGCTCACACACACCCCACATATTCACCCAGAATTGGAACATTTTGAAACACTAATTTACCTAAGGTACACCTCTTTGGGGTGCAGGAGGAAATTGGAGTACCTGGAGAAAACCCAAGCAAATTGGAAAGAATATGCAAACTCTGCAAAAACAGAAATCATTTTTGTCTCCATCAGCATTATAAGAAAATGACTTTGAACAAAAAGATGTTATTTGAGGACCTACTGTGCACTGTAAACAGAGGAGATCCCTGTTACAGGGCAGGGAGAGGTGCACCCCAGACCCCCCCCAAAACCCGCCTGTTCTAAATGGGTTATCGGGGCTGCTCCGTAACAATCCCCTTTCTCTGGAGGCAGAAAGGTACTCCCTTAGGCAATGAGAATAGAGGTAAGATCTGAAAGGGAAGTAGGAAAGGAGATAATAGTGGGAACATTTCAGCCAGGGTGAACCTCCAGCCATAAGGACCTGAGGCAGGTAAAAAACTTACTGATTCAAGGAATTAAAGGTGTGTGGGGTGGCTGGTTCCACACCTGGCTGGTAGGCCTGAGAGGACAATGGGAATTTGCTTCTTTCTGCTGAAAATAAAGGCAGGTCAATAACAATGTTGTTTGTGCTAGGAACTATGTGACATGAGTAGATCTGCATTATTTAAAATGATCCCTGCTGCGCACAGACCTCTCCTGCAGCCCGCTGCTCCCCTCAGCAGTGTACTTCGGTCCTTCTGCCTGCTCTGCTCCCCGCTCTGGTTCTGGTAAATTCTCTCACCCTCCAGCGCTTCTGACTGTACCCAGCGCTTGTATAAATAAATAAAAAAAAATAAAAATAAATCTTTAAAAAAAAAATGATCCCTGCTGAGGGGCAATTGGATTGGAAGGAGGCAAGTTGATTTGTTCCTTCTCTTCCTGCATTTGAAGAACAATTTATTGTGTGCAAATCAGTGCTGTCCAATAGCAATTAACATAAAGTACATCATTTTGAATCTTCTAGCTGTCACAGTAAAGAATGTACATTAAAACTAATGTAGAGATTAGTTTTAGCTAATTTCACAGATTAGCTTTGATATATTTTATTTTGCTTAGTATATCTAAAATATTATCATTTCAACATGTAGTAATTAAAAAAAAATACTTGTATTTCACATTCTTACTTTTCTTACCAAGCCTTTGAAATCTGTGGTATATTTCACACATCTCAACTTGAGCAAAAATTTTTCATCAGAAATACCTTTTATATATTTAGATTTCATAAAATTTACAGTGAAAACAGTTTTAAATACTCAAGTTGTTCTAAACATATTTAAATGTTTCCCAATAGCTAAACCAATTACCACTTTTAAGTTAAAATTAAATGAAATTTAAGATCTAGTTCCTCACACAGTAGTCACATTTCCACCACTCAACAACCAGATGTGATCAGTGCTATTGTAACAGGGTGGTCCCCAGGAAAGGGGGAGGTTCCAGGTTCCCTGCCCCACCCAAGGGAGGGTGGAGCTGAGCAGGAAGAGGAGAAGCGGCAGAAGAGAAGGAGGAAGGAGCAGGATGGAGCCAGAAGGAGACCTGGAGGAGGCGCATGGAGCCTAGAGACACGTAAAGAAACTGTGCTTGTCTTTTGGTCGTAGACTGGGTGACACAGATGTGGGTGAGACCCGTGGGGAGGTGACCATGGCAGCTTTTATCTTGATGTTGATTTTGCTCTTTTCCTTCCGGGCTTGTCCGGTTGTTTGTGACCCTTTTCTGTGGGTCCCCACTGGAAGATGCTTTAGATTTGTAGCAGGCTTTGGGGCCTTGTTCTGGGCCGATCCCATATGGATGGAGTTTTACCCACGAGGGGACGGGTAACTTTGGGTGCTTCATTTAGAAACTAGACTCTTTGCCTTACCTGTATTGTTTCCTAGTTTTATTAAAGTTCCTTCCCATTAAAGTCTCATATGTTTTGTGTCGATGCGGCGGATGGCAGAACCCATTTAGTATAGGCAGGTTTGCGGGGTTTGGGCTGCCCCTCTCCCTGTCCTATAACACTACCATATTGGATAGAGCAGAAGAAAATTTTCACCATAGCACAAGTGTAATTTGTCAGTGAGAAACTGATTCATTAACATCACTCTGGAAGACACAACTCTTCAAAAGTGGTGGGCACATTCATCGAGGACAGTCTCACTATTGCCTTTTATTAAGTCTACACCCATTCCTCAGGCTTTTTGTTTTTGTTTCCCAAGTAGAATTTTCCAACTGGGAAGAAAATGAGCTAACATGCTGAGATAAATATCCAGGCTGCTTGGCTGTTAAATTTTTCTCCATAAATGAATAAAGATGAATTTTGAAACTTGTGGTTCAAAATCTGTGCAAATTAACAGTTCCTCTCATATCATCCTGCCAGCACCTTTATCTGTGAAGAGCAAACATTGATTTTGGGGGTTGCATAATAATTACAAAATTAAACAAACCCCCAGGCCAAGGAGTTTCCTGCTGCTCCTCTTCCTTAGGAGTCCCTAGTCACAGGGGGAGTTCCCACCAGAAGAAAAGGGCCTGGGGAACAGATGTGTATTTGGGGTGTCTGGCTCAGCAGGCCCAGACACCAGGCCCTCAGCTCCTAGACTTCAGGTGCCATTCCTCTTTATAGTCCCTCCCATAACTTCACTTCTCCATTCCCCATTTGGCTCAAAGCTGAGCAGGGGGATTTCTCTTTCTTTATCTAAGAACATTTATAAATCTCTATGCAAACTCATTTTGCCCTTCCTCTCTACTCTGGGCAATGAATAACATTCACACCAGTCTTTTGCTAGGGCTTCCTCCCACCTCAATCCCCTCTGAACTTTAATACAACCCGTATGAAAAAGCCCAGTTCTCTTCACTTTTCCAACAGAAATGTGAGCTCCTTGGAGTACTTCTTGGAAGTCTTCTTGAAGCTTTTTTAAAAAAATTCTTTAAAATTCTCTACATGGTTTCCATTCATTCTATTTAGTGGCATAGGAGTTTGTTGGTGTGTGTGTGTGTGTGTGTGTGCGTGTGTGTGTGTATGTGTGTAATAATGGCTAACATTAAGCATTTAATACACACCAAGTCCTTTACATGGATTCTCTCATTCAATCCTCATAAACTACCTATGAAGTAGATCTTAATAGTTTATCATTTTACAGATTAGTAAATCAAGACTTTTTCTAGATGACACAGCTAGTAAGAGGCAGGCAGTAGCTTAACTCAACAATATCAGACCTAATGTAGAGTTGAACCCTGTGTCACGTTGCTTTCCTGCAATATTTTGCTATTGTGTCCTGCTAATTTAAATCTCCTGTGCGTTTATGCTTGGTCAAAGAGAGAAAGGTTAACCCTGCCAAATACTTTCTGTGTAGCTTCCTTTTAGTAATAGAGAAGAGTCCTCAAGGAAGTAACCCACGACGCAGACTTGACCAATATATATAGGCAGACATCAAGTCCAAGTTGGAGGCAGCAATCTGCAGCAAGGGCCTGCCTCCTGCTCCTCTTGGGCTCATAATCTCAGCTTCAAACCTGGCGTGCCTATCAATTCTCGCACCTGCTAAACTCTCTACGGCCCCACCCCTTGCCTTTCTGCAGGATAAGGGCTCAGCCCAAGCAGAAGAGGGGGGGAGAGGGAGGAGGGCAGTGTTTGCTGGTGGAATCTAGGTCCCCCATTACAGACAGGGTGAGACTGGTATTTATATTTTTAATGATTTCTTTATACAAACACTGTGTGAGCTGGTATTTATTTTTTTAATGATTTATTTATACAAGCACTGGGGTACAGGCCAGAGGCGCCGGAGGGTGACAGATTCCACCAGAGACAGAGCGGGGAACAGAACAGGCAGAAGGACCGAAACACACTGCTGAGGGGAGCAGCGGGCACAACAGGAGAGGTCGGCCCTGCCATGTGGGAATCTCCCGGGGCCGGGCGGGAATCGAACCGGCGCCACGGAAGCTGCGGACAGTTTCAACCCGCTGCGCCACCGGGGAGACCCGAAACTGGTATTTAGAAGGGCGAACTATGCCCAGGGACAAGAACATAAGCCGGTCCCAGCTCAGTCAATAGGTTCAGCTCACTAACAATAGTAAACTGCTTCATCCCCAAAGCGAAGAACCCCCAAATCAGCCCCTTAAAGGAAACCCGGAACTTCAGGTCTCGGGCCCTCACGGAAGACCCGAGAGAGCCACAGAACGAAACAGCGGACGCAGGCGGGAGGCTTTCGGTCCTTCCGCGGGTCGATAGACGCGGCCACCGAGGTTCCAGGCCCCGCCTCTCAGACACCACAGCCAATCCGGGAGCCGCGCTCCGGCGGCTGGTGTCGCCCCGCCCCCCGGCCGGCCGCGCCCCGCCGGCAGTGACGTGCCCCGCCCCACAGCCGCGGGATTCAAATTCCCGGAAGCGGCGTCCCTGCCGGAGGTTGAGCCTCGGCGGTCGCGTTCACCGCGCTTCGCCTCAGGTGCTGTCTGGTTGCGGAGAGGCGACCCCCGAGGGTGGCCGGACCTTGAGGGAGGCGCGGTCGGTGGGCAGATCGCGGCCACCGGGACACGATCTCCGCTCGCCGGGTTACATGCCCCCTTTTCCGGCGCCCTCTGCGTGCCTGGCACCGAGCCGGGCGCCTGGCGACGGCCGTCTCGACCCCTCCTTGCAGCTCTGCGGTGGGTATTATCTCGCCCTTCCTGTGATTTGGCCAAGGCCTTTCGTTCGTGCAGCTTTTTGCCGGTTCGTGTTTTCATGTTAATTCTACAAACGTCTTCGATTTTGAAAAACAAGTGCCTCATTTTTACCCATTTCCTTTGCCTGTCTGTCTGCCCTTGGAGCGCTTCTTTGGGGTCTTTGTAAGGTTCGCCTTCTCTGGAAGACGATGCGGCCTGTAAAAGGTACCTTGTGCAGTTTGCTGCAAGGAAATGTTTCTTTGGTCACCTCTTGTCCCGCATGTCTTTGATCACTTCTGCCAGTCAACAGATATTTTCTGAGCACCCGTTGTCTGGCTCTGTGGGTGGCAGAGTAATTCCAGATCAGCCCCTGGAACAATTGTTGAGCAAATGAACAAGGCTGGGAATCTCTCTGAGTACCAGATTGTGGCCTGTGGTCTGGTCACTTACTGGCATTTGCAGAGGGAAAGCTTCCTGGAAAAGATGCAACCGGGCAAGGCAGAGTTTGAGCAGTGGCTTGACTGGAATTGAATATACAGGGGGTGACAGTGGGTAGGACTAAATGGTGAGGGGCTGGGAGATCCTAGCTGGGTTCTCGGCCAGAAGTTAGAAACAAGAGAGTCTGTCATTGCAAAGGTTCTGTCCAAGGTCAGGAAGCAAATGTCCAGAGGGTCTTTCCATTTCTACTGATCTATAAGGTTCCACCATTCTGTACTTGAGTGACTTGCTTGAAAAGTAGTCAACATGGTATCAGCAGAAGCACACTGGGAAGAACTTCCTGTGGCAGCCGTTTCTTAAGACACTCCACCTTCACATTTACCTCAAATGATTTTCCGGTTATCTTACTGTTTCATCTCAGAGTGGGCGAAAACATCCGGGCTAATCTTTTGGTATCTGCTCTGTTTAGCTCAATCTACACAGTTCTGGTAATGTCAGGGTCTCTGATTTCATACTGGATGACACTAAAAGTCAATTCCACAGAGAGGCCTTCCTCCACTGCCTTTTCTAAGTAGATTTCCCCTTTTTTTCACTGCTGTCATCTATCACTATATTCTTCATTTCCTGTATGCTATTTATTTTACAGTCTAAGAATCTGTTTCCTTGTTGTTTGTCTCCTTGACTGGATGAAAAGTTCCGCAATGTAAGACACTTTTCTATTGAAGTTGACATCTTTTTAAAGAGCAAGTGCTCTCCATGTATCTAACACCCAGATTTAAAAATATAAATTATTACCAGCAACCTCCACATACATACCCCACTGGTTTGGCTATAACATTTCTATTTGGAGAGGAAGTTTCTTCTATTTTGTAGATGGGTTATTAGACCTTTTTAAGCCTGAGATTTGATCTTTTAAATTCAGGTTTATAAAATATAATTATGTTTTTATTCTATAGATAATTTCAGAGATGTCTTGCAGAAGTCCCAAAGAGTTAATCAAAGCCAAATGGGGATCAAAGCCCAGTAACTCCAAATCAGAAACTGCATTAGAAAAATTTAGGGGAGAAATTGCAGCCTTAAAAACATCAGCGGATGAAATCACAATCGGAAAAGGAAAGCTGACTGATAAAGAAAGACACAGACTTTTGGAGGTAAATGGCATTATAAATCCTTTAAATTGTAGTAAGCTTTGTTGTCAGAGATGAGAAAATAGTTTCCTAGTAATTACCTAGTTTTTCTGTTAGTTCACTAAATGTAAAAAAAAAAAAAATCAAACCTAAATATTTCAAAGTATTTATGAAGTTGAGACTTTAATGTGAATATTTTTATAACCCACATTCTATATTTTGCCAGCTTTCCAAGTAATCTTTGTTTTCAGGTGTTTTTGTTGTTGTTTTTTTTAGGTAAAATCATTGCCATATATTGGCATTTCATTTTCTGTTAAACTATATTTCAGATTGCCTAATTTATAGTCTGTTATGGCATGATCATTAAAGCAGTTATGGATTTATTAGAACTGGAAGGATTTAAAATTTTAATCATTAACTTTTAATTTCTTTTTGCAAAGTATCTATTTTGCTTGTATTTAGAAAATAAATGGCCTGTATTAAATAGAATCATTGGATTGCTTTACATTTTATTTTATAGGGACATCATAAAACTAAATTATTTTTTAACAATATAAATTGAGGTAATTCTTATTAAGCATTGAGAAATGATCCATCACTAATTCTTAGACATCAGTATTATTTTGCAATCTGGTGAAGGAATCAAATAATTTCCCTGGGAGATCTCTTCCCAGTTTATTCTACTTTAGACAAACATTGTTCAGATGAATCAGTTCAATCTGTTGAAATTAAACTTCCTGTGACTTCTGCTTATTTGTTCAAATTGTGTCCATTAAAAGTTAGCTAAAATCCTCTTATTTTCACACAATCCTTCAACTCAATTATCTCCATTGTATATTTGAACGTTTTTTGCACCCCCCCATGCAAGTTTTTCATTTTATATCAGAATGCAAAAAGTAATTCTGTAAACTTTTTCTGTCAGCTCTCTCCTGATGCTTTCTTATGCCAGCAGCAGTTCCACAAGCATGCCTTCTTTCTCTTTCCAGTCCCTCAAAAAGATAAATACATTGAAGGTATTTACCTTCTAGGTTTGATACCAAATCATTTTTAATAGGAAACAAGTAAATGAATACACCTTTATCCAGCTATAAACTTCTGTAATTTTTAAGTTCTGTGCTTCAAGTTCTTCAATGAACATATATCTCTTGTGTGACTCACCTTAGCCTTTAAGATTATTAGAGATGGAATGATGGAGAGATGATTACTCAAGTGAGATTACTCACAGATACTCAAGTGAGAACCAACTTTTCTTTAGTTTTCTCTCACTATTCTTTTTTTTTTAAGATTTATTTATTTATGCATACAAGAACTGGGGTACAGGCCAGAGGTGCGGAGGGTGAGAGGATTCACCAGAGACAGAGTGGGGAGCAGAACAGGCAGATCTACTGAAATATATTGCTGAGGGGAGCAGCAAGAGAGACAGGAGAGGTCTGCTTTGTCATGTGGGTATCTCCCTGGCCGGGGATCGAACTCGTGCTGCAGTGGCTGCAGATAGCCTCATAGGTTGCATCTTAAACCCTTGCGCCACCAGGGAGGCCCTCTCTCACTATTCTTGACAGAAGTGGTTTCTCTTTTGTATGTTTGTGTCCCATTTATTTATTTATATCTTAACTAGAGCACTTAGTATCTGGCATTTATATACAGGTTTACCTCTCTATGAGCTCTCAGAGTATAAGACGTTGGCTTGATGTTCTTTTTAACTGTGGTATTTAGTCAAATGCTGACTCAATATATAACAAACACTTCACAAATGCTTATTGTAGCATATTGTTTACTTTCGTATTTGCCCTGGCTTTGTTCTAAGATTCTTCTTAGTTTATATCTAGAAAATTCGAGTCCTCGAAGCTGAGAGGGAAAAGAAAGATCATCACCTCACAGAGAAGGATAAAGAAATACAGCGACTTAGAGACCAGATGAAGGTCAAATGTAGTACAACTGCATTGCTTGAACAGCTGGAAGAGAAAACAAAGGAAGGTGAAAGAAGGGAACAATTGTTGAAATCCTTGTCTGAAGAGTCAGATGTATTGAAAAATCAGTTGTTTGCCTCAACTACAAGAATTGCTGAACTTGAAAACAATGCTAGTACGCTTCTTGTAAAACAGGTACTAATAATTTCTTTAAATCCAGATTTTTTTCCTTTCTTATGATTCATAATTCTTACGAAGAATGAGTTTATAAAGCATTCTTGTCAAATGATGAAACGGTATAGTTTACCAACAAGTCGCTTTTTTTTTTTTTAAATAATCCAATACCCTTTCCATAAACAAAAATAGTTAATAGGACTTCCTCACTTCCCACACTGTTGTTTTGCCCAGGGAATATTCAGAATACAGAGTCCACTGTATGTCTACATTAGCCAAGAAGATTTTATTTAGTTCTTACTTCAATAGTTTGTATCATGAAACACAATAAGCTTCATTTTGAGGTTATTTTTCACTTCAGACGTATAATATCAAATTAATATCCAGTATGCTTTTTCTAATGACATGTGCTTCCCTCTCCCTTTGTTTTAGTGTCTATTGTAGCAGAAAGCAAGGATTTGTGGGAGGCAGTTCTGCCACTTACCACTTGTGCGTGACTCTCAGCAAATTCCCTAACCTTTCTAACCTTATTAGAATTCACCAGAGCCCTCTCTTAAACCTCAGTTTCCACATCAGTAAAATTAAAAATATATATAGGCAATTATTTATATGTATATGTATGTGTGTGTGCAATTATTTATATGTGTATATATATATATACACACACACATACAATAGGCTATATATTATATATAGTGCTTGGCATATAAAAATCCTCAATAAATAGTTTCTTATTGATTAGACCTTTAATTCTTTTGAAAATTTGGACATCTGAATTTAATCTAGTATAATTTAGAGTATTTTAACTATTAATACCACCTATAATAAAGAATCTATAGCTTTTAGATGTAATACCTCAGTGCTATTAAGGGTCTGTCTTAATCTCCCCTTTAGAGTAAACCGTGATCCGAGCTGTACATTTAAGTGTTCTGCCACATAAATGACAAAGATGTCTCTACAGACAAGTTCAAAGCAGTTAAGTTTTTCTAGAGGATTCCACAGAGAGAAGCTCATAAAACAGTACAGTCAGATCCAAAGAGGCTGACTAAAACTTTTCCTGAAAACACAAAAATCAATTAGTTTCCCTAGTTTTGAAAATAGAAAGGCAAATCTTGGTAGAAATCATTTTTAAGAATGTATTTTATACGAGTATTTCTTTTTCTCACGTCAGAGGTTGTGGTGAAGGAGGCCTTGTCCACAGTCAGTCAGATATCTAGGTCCCTTCTAGCTGCTCTCTGGAGTCCTCCACCAGATCCGTAAAGCTGGGAGCTAGAGAGCGCGTGTGGAGAACTGGGGGAGGTTTTATGGACCAGGCCTGGTATTAGCCCACATTCCATTAGACAGAATTTAATCATGACCCCACTAGCCACAGAGAAGGCTGGGAAATGTAGACATACAGTGTACCCAGAGAAATAAGGGAAGGGGTTTGATGAACTAGTTCTGAAAACTTGCACCTAGAGGACTAAACTGAGAGGGAGAAAGAGCTACTACATACTAGAGCAAGTACCTATATCACCTTTGAAGAAAAATAGATTTTGAATTTCCTTGCCAGCATTCATACATCTCTTCCCTTACAATTGTTAAAAGACTAAAATACAGCTATTTATGAGATCTTTTGAATAGGCCAGGTTCTTTTTTTTTTTTTGCCTTTTTTTTTTAAAAAAAAAAATTTATTTATTTATTTATTTATTTATTTATACAAGCACTGGGTACAGTCAGAAGCGTGGGAGGGTGAGAGAATTCACCAGAGCCAGAGCGGGGAGCAGAGCAGGCAGAAGGACCGAAGTACACTGCTGAGGGGAGCAGCAGGCGGCAGGAGAGGTCTGCGCGCCATGTGGGACCCTCCTCCGGTGGCCGGGGAGCAGCCAGGGATCGAACCAGCGCTGCAGAGTCTGTGGGCAGCTTCGCAACCCAGCGTTCAACCACTGCGCCACCAGGGAGGCCCTGAATAGGGCAGATTCTTTAATCACTGACTTAACCCTCTTTTTTTTTCCCTCTCTGAAAAAATGAAGGGAAAAAAAGAAATTATGTTTTGAGTTTCATATAATCTATATGAACTAATACTGATTAATACTGTTACAAATAGAATTGTAGAAAACAACTTTCACCTTTTGTTTTATGATTTAGTAGTTTTGTAGATTTCATTTAAATAGCCCAGTTATTTTGTGAAAACTTCTGGGCTGTTCACATGCACTGAGGGCTATTCTGGTGACGCTGCCATCCAGAGGGCCTCAGAAGTCAAGGTAGATAATGAAATTTCAGGGTTTCCAAATCTGCTTAGGAAGCTTTCAAGAGATCTTAACTCTCTTCTGGTGCTTCTCTGCTACATGGAAGGACGGTTCTTTGGCATGTACTAAATCTGAATTTGGGGATCCCCCTGTAAGTGTATTCTGCTTATTATGGAACTAAATATAATGAGAAAACCTATATTGTTAAATTTGAGATGTTAACTAATATTGGTTTATTTATAGACTATGGCTACAAGCTGCTTCAACTCATCAATGAGTAATATTAATGAAATGGAACTGAAGCTGAAAGATGTAAGTTTATTTTCCCTTTATTGTTATAGCTAGAGAGAACTAATTCATTTATTCTTGAATTTCATGGACATTGACAGCATTGATGCTATGATTTGAAAAAATATGTTAAGAAGGAGAACTGAATGATTAGAGATCATCTTTCTAGGTTTCTGCCTTTTAAGTCACATTCCAGGCATTAAAAGGGCCAATTCCTTTAAATATGATCTCTGTAGGTTAGAGGGTTCTAGAAACTACTCATCACCACCAAATACTTCAACATCTTTTCTGCACCCAACCTAATTGTCCCAACTATTTTATTACTATAATGTAATTTAATTTATAGTTTCTTTTTTTTTTTATGCAAGATGTACTCTTTAGCATGAAATTTTTCCTTTGGTACCCAAGATTTACTTTCATAGTTTAATAAGGAAATATATTCTTTGTATAACATTCATTACTTCTTTGCTCTAGAATTTGATATGAGGTTATTTTAGAGATATGCAAAACTATATTGTTTCAAATTTATGTCCTAAGTGAACTAATGGGCTTCATTAGGAATTGAATAAATTGAGGGCATAGGATTATTATTTAGTTTATTTTTCTAAGTTTTGATATCAAATATATGAAGTATAAAATTCTTAATTTAATTATTAATCCATAGGCAGGTATTTTGATACCAGAAATATTACTGGCAGGTCTGTCTGGTCTAAGCATTCTCAAGATTCCTGTTTTATTTTATCTAGCAAGAGTACCCTGAGGACTATTTGATTTTCAAGAGAAGAATTTAAATCTGTTGAGTGTCTAAATATGGGGTGCTCCTGTTGAGTGTCTAAATATGGGGTACTTTGATAAGGTGCTTACCCTTATCAAAATGATTTACCTAGAGGTAACTAAAATAAAGAAGATATCAAAATCAGTTCTGTGATAGACTGACCTCTTATCACTCTATTTATAGCAGTACTTCCCCATTAGATGTGCATCTCTACACATAATTTACCTTACACACCTGTTTCCCCTTTATTTGTCATTCCAGCCATGTTGGAGTAACACAACACCTTTTCTCTTTCTGCTCCCTTTACCTGACACTGTTTCCCCAGGTCTTTACTGAATTGTCGCATTCTTGGGTTTGGGGGTATGGGGTTGGCATAGAACAGAGGACAGAGCTATAGGTTTTCCTAGCCACCTTGTATATAATTATAGCTCCCAAAATAATTCCTATTCCCTTTTCCTATATTTAAAGTTCCATCTTGTACCATATTACTGTAAAACTTAAAATCTACTTATCTTGTTTATTGTCTGGCTCTTCCATTGGAATATAAGTTTTATGAGTGAAGGATTTTTGCATATTTTATTCACTGCTATATTCCCAGTGTCTAGAATATTTGAAAGAATGAATGGAATCTTGTGAAATTTCTTAAATTTAAGTACTGTTTCTTCTAGTAAGGTGCCTGAAAATAAATACTGTTGCTTAAACGTTCATGTAATTTTTAGACTTCTTAGTGTTAACTGCCTCAAATATTAGCTAAAGTTTTTTTTTTAGGTAGTGACTTTTATAATATTAACATTGAAATGTTATGACTTTATGTCCAATCTTTTTGTTCTTTTTTATCTTCCCAATTTATTTAAGGATCACATTGTTCTTCTGTGTTCTGTTTATCTTGTAAGACTTTTAGACAAGTGGAGTAAAATTTAACCCAACTCACCTTCAAATGGTGGGCTAGGCTGAGCAAAGCCTCTCATACTCAAATGTACATACAAACCTACGGGATCTTCATATGATGAAGATTCCTATACTGTTGATTTAGGGTAGGGCCTGAGATTCTGCATTCCCAACAAGCCCCTTCCATCTGCTGCTGCTGCTGCTATTGCTAGTGATCTATGGACTACCCTTTGACAACCACTGATGTTTGAGGAGTAAGAGGTCATTTAGCTCTGGTTGTCCCTTTGGAATATCAACAGATCTTTTAGGCCAGGAGAATTGTCAGAGAACTTAGAAAACAGGGAAAGAAGCCTCTCACTCCTCTTAATCCCTATGCTCACATTATTTGACTTTTGAAAAATCAGCATTTCTAGTCCCACATCCTACCTTCAAGCTCCTACAAAATCCCCTGTATACATTTGCCTACCTATTTTAAGAAGTGGTATTTGTTATGCTAAAATAAGCCCTAAAAACCTTTGTTTATCTTCCTTGAGGCCTAGCTCTATCATTCCTTAGCTACCATTTAGGTTCACCTCACATTTTGAAATAATTACATGTAGTTAATACTATAAACAATGTCCAGTGTCAGTGTCTTTCAAACTAGATAGCTAAAAGGCAGTTTTAATAAGTATTTCATAATTTTAAAAATCTGTTTTTTAAACATGAGATTTAGGGAAGATTATAATAATAAACAATGATTTTAAAATTTTTATTTGAAAAAAATTTAAATTTAAGAAAATCTACAAAGATGAAAATACTATATAGACTACCCATATACCCATTACCAAAATTCAACCTTTGTTATTTTCTTTCTCTTTCTCTTTCAATTCCCAGTCCATACACATACAATATTTTTTTGGAACTATTTAGAATGAGTTACTTCCGTCCATAGCCTATATACTTTAAAGTGTATTCCTAAGAAGGAGGCTATCTCTTGCATGACTCCAGTGCAGCAATTTTAATAAATTCAATATGAACACTGTACTTCTATGTAATCTACCATTCATATTTCAGTTTTATCAATTGATTCTCTTGTTTTATTCCTCTAGTTTATGCTAACATTTTAATCCATGTTGAAAGTTTTGCCCAAGGAACATTTCATATATCCCCATCAAACCAGGAAGAAGCATTGTAGCATCACTTTATAGGGCTCCACTTTTGCCCACTCTGGTCCTGTTTTTATTGATAACTTAGATAGAAATGTTCAGTGCTTGACTAAAAAATGTATAGATGACATAAAACTGAAAGAGATAACTGATGCCATGATGGATGCAAAAATAATATCAATATTCGTTAATAGCAATCAAATAAAAGAGCAGGTGCACAGAATTCAGTGAGAAGAGAGAGGTAGGGAGTAGAAATGTTTACTATTTGACTGAAGTAACATTGCCATCACGTGGCGTTTTAGGGTATTGCACCTCAAACCTTAAACCAACAAGTACGTGTTTTCAGACTTAAGTGTACCATAAGTAATTAGTAAATTAAATAATTTTTAGGCCTTTCTCCCTCTAGCACTAGCCAATGAATCATCTTTGCTACCTTTCAACTTGAATTTGCTCCCCATTTTCGGTAACAGAACTGCCACCTTCCCTGGAAACACTGGGGGCAAGAGGTGAGGCAGAGGGGTGGTGTGTAGTTGCTGGGGATTCTGGGCTGTTTCCTTTGGCTTTGCTTTCAATAGAATTTCCAAGCATCAAGTGATTAAGAACAGTGAGTCACAGAGCTTGTGTCATAGATCTACACACTTTTGTCTATATATTGCACCTTGTTTTATCCACTAAAGTTAATGTAGCTTTTTATGTGCTGATGACTTGCCACAAATCAGGTGGTAGGAGCCACAGAAAATGTAGGTGTAATTTTATAAGATTTTCAAACTTATGCTTTGTGGCCTAGTAGGGCTATCAGAACATACATAAGTTCCTGAGGGAAAGACAGAAAGACAGAACAAAATGAAAAACTATTAGCAGTAACAGTAAAATGAATCATTTACCATGTCTAACTGATTATTTTAATGTTATCATCCAAAAAATTTCTTGCACATGTATTATAAGCAACAGCTGGAATCCTTCAAGGAACTTACTCTCTGTTTGAGAGACACAGCAAACACATAGAGAGCTGAAGATGGTTGGTAAAATAATTTTTAATTATTAATAGTGTGTGTGTACCTCTACACAAACCAGGTGAGTGATCCCGGTTTGGGATTTTTAATTGAGTTCTAAAAGATGTAAAGGGTGAAAATTGAATAAAAGAAGGAGCAGCTACTTAAGTTTGATTTTCCAGGACATTGAGATAGGTTTAGGAGTGCAAATAATTTATGTGGGAGCAACATCTGTGAAAGGAAAAGGAAAGAAGCCAGATTGGTCAGGGGCACTGTCAGACAGGATGCAAACCTGAGCAAAATCCTATGTTGGGCAGAAATAGCTCTTTCTTGAAGGGTATCTGAGCAGTGCTAGTCTCTACCTTGGCCAGTAAAGGCATCTAGAGGGTGACGTGGAAATATGTTGTGTATAGGAGACAGCAGTCAAATGAACTTAACCCCATGTAACCATATCTTTGCCATGTTTTTAGATATCCTGAAGGTATGTGACATTAGAATATCTTTCTGTGTCATAAACCATACACTAGTTGTCTAAAATTATTCTATAATTCATTTGTCCATTTTAAGATTTTGTTGGTTTTTTTTCATATTTGTACAATAAAAATTGTATTATTATTATCATATTTTTGTATTTTATTTTGCTATTGATTTTTTTTTTTTAATTTTCATATTGAGGCTCTGGAGAAAAATCAGCAGTGGCTTGTGTATGATCAGCAGCGAGAGGTCTATGTAAAAGGACTTTTAGCAAGGATCTCTGAGTTGGAACAGAAATCGGAAACAGTTGCTCATTCACTCCCACAGCAGACCAAAAAGACAGAATCAGAAGGTACTGGTATAAAAATGTTCCTTTGGGGTAGGCCTGCCTGACATTTCCAAAAGGAGAGATTCATCAAATTTAGATTTTTATAGATGTGTTAGAAAGTAAAATAAGCAAGTCTTTTAGCCCTTAAATAAGAAATACCATTTTAGGAAGTCTGTTTTATTTCCTCACTGATTTCTGATAAAAGAGGGCATGAGGCTCAGGATAGGGGGATCTTTGGTAGCTTTGAAGCTACCAAATTTACATTAAATTTTCTCCACTGTGCACCTCACCCCCTCCCATCTCCTTCAAAGTCCTTCGCCAACGTTTCCCCCAGAGCTGGCCTTGTCACCTGTTACCTTTTTTACTCTTTGTCCCTTTAGAATTTATTTATATCCATCCCAGGAGGAAGAATACATTTTATAAAAGATGCTTCAGTCACTTAAATCTCAACGTAGAACTGCAATAGTTTTGAACAATACTGTCTTTTTGTCAAGTGCTTTGCAGTTTCTCTAACATTATTTCAGTTGAATTTCACGAGAACGCTGAGAGGCCAGTCAAGAAAGGTCATTTCCACTTTATGCAAGAGGAACTAGGTTCTTGTGTTGAGCTACAGGTGTGAGCTACAGGTTCTCGTGTTGAGTTACAGGTGTTGAGCTCGGGAAAGGAGAGAAACCCCCATGCAAAGTGGTTCCTAAAAGACTGGCAGCCTCAACAGGACTAAAGCCTTGAGTTCTACAGGAGTGAGTCAGGCTCATGAACTTGGAGTTCACTTTGAAATATTTACAACAAAGCTAATGCTAAAAAGAAAATACAGAAGGGAATGTCTCTAGAGATAATCAAAGCTGACAAAATTGTTAACTGTATTGTCTTTACAAGTTTGCTACACTGAAAGTAAGATTTTAGTTCATGTTGAATCTAATTTTTTGTCTATATTAGTTGAGAGGGGCCCTGTTCCACCTTTCCCTTCCTATCCTGATCTCAGTTTCTTCCCCCTGTCAGGGTAGCTGCTTTTAACATTTCTAATCTTTTTTTTTTTTTTTTAGATTTATTTATTTATGCATATAAGAGCTGGGGCATAGGCTGAGATGCGGGGGGTGAGAGGATTCAGCAGAGTCAGAGTGGGGAGCAGAGCAGACAGATTGACTGAAGTACACTGCTGAAGGGAACAGTGGGCGAGACAGGAGAGGTCTGCTGCGCCATGTGGGTAGCTCCCTGGCTGGCCGGGGATCGAACTCGTGCTGCAGAGGCGGTGGATTGCTTCATAGTGTGGTGCTTAACCCCTTGAGCCACAAGGGAGGCCCTAACATTTCTATTCTTGATTCTGGTAATTAACTCCATCTCTATAAATAGTGAGCTTACATCCTTACTTGTTGATTTGTCTTTTTTAAACAGTAGTGAGTTTCCTTCCCCACAGAATAGTTATATTTCTATTTTTAGTCTTCCATGTATTAGTTTTGTAACTTCAAATAATGAAGTATGAAACCATACTTCTGTTTCTTGTTCTGCAAATATCAGCCCTAGCTCTTGACTCTTCATTCTGAAAGGTGAGAAAATAAGGTCATCTCATTTATAGAAACGTGTTCATGTTTTTCTTTTTTTTTTCCTTTTTTTTTTTTTTTTTAAAGATTTATTTGTTTATTTATTTATACAAGCACTGGGTACAGTCAGAAGCTCAGGAGGGTGAGAGAATTCACCAGAGCCAGAGCGGGGAGCAGAGCAGGCAGAAGGACCGAAGTACACTGCTGAGGGCAGCAGCGGGCGGCAGGAGAGGTCTGCGCGCCATGCGGGACCCTCTTACGGTGGCCGGGGAGCAGCCAGGGATCGAACTGGCGCTGCAGAGGCTGCGGGCAGCTTTGCAACCCAGCGCTCAACCACTGCGCCACCGGGGAGGCCCTTCATGTTTTTCTTTTCAGGAATATTGCCTATTTTATAAAGTGAGTTGTGCCCTGATGTGTTTGTCACAGGTTTTCTTCAAGAGGAAAAGCAAAAATATTACAGCCATGTTTTGGCAAAGACGAAGAAAGATCTTGAGGTTGAAAGACAAACCAACACTCAGTTGAATTCTGAACTTAGTGAGTTTCGAAGAAAATATGAAGAAAGCCAAAAAGAAGTTCAGGATTTAAATCAGCTATTATGTTTACAAAGAAAGGCACATGTCCAACACCTGGAAGATGATAGGCATAAAACAGAGAAAATACAAAGGCTCAAAGAAGAGAATGATATTGCTAGGGAAAAACTTGAAGAAGAGAAGAAGCGATCTGAAGAGCTGTTATCTCAGGTAAGCCTAACCGGGAAGGCTTTCCATGACTTATAGTTCAACTTTTTCATTGTACTTACTAAGTGTCAAGGACTGCTTTACCAGATAGTGAACCAGCAAGGAACAAAAAAAGTTTTTGCTTAGTTTTTGCACCGCTCATGGGTGTTCATATTTAGAAATGGAAAGAGACCATAAGCAAGTACCTAAATATAGAAGATAAAGCAGGGTTATATGACAAAGGGATATTGGGGGTCTTCCTGAGAAGATGGTGTTTGTACAAGGGCATACTGACAAGAAGAAAACCAGCAAGATAAATGACTGGGAAATCCCGCCAGGCAGAGGGAATGGCGTATCAAAGGTTCTGAGTAAGAAAGGAAGTGGGTACATGTGAGAAGCTAAAGGCAGGTATGGAATAACAGGGTGTCTAAGCTCATTCCTAGGCTGGCACCTTGATGTGAGGATACTACACTTAGGTTCACGTGGCACCTTCTATATTCTCATTATACTCACAGCTTTATGCCAGGCAACCTCAGTAATGCTGAAGTTACAGAGTTAGGATTATAGATTTGGAATACTACTTGCACAGAAACTCATTCATTTAAATTTTGCTTGGCAGCATGGAAGTATGAAAAACCATTTGGAGTCCACACTTGGTCCCCAGTCCTGGAGTGACTCACCTAAGGTTATTCATGTGTCAAACTGATAATAATAACCTCTTCTTGCTTTTATAAATCTCTGGTGATGATTCACTGAGATACTATAAAAGTGCTTTGAAAACTAAACGGCTAAGAAAATGTTATTACTGCTATTAGAATAGTAATTTAAAAATCCTCCAGAAGTTAAAATGGGAAAAAGTAGTCTATAACATTTACCTTCTTTGTCTTTACACCCTCATTTCTGCCTCTAGTGTGAGTGGTGGTATTTACTAGAATTAAGCAGAAATGATTGAGAATTTTGCTTCAACTCTGACATCAAGGAGACAAGGCAGTGCTGGCTTTGTTATCCTACTGGGCAGTATTAGTAGGTGTTAGCATCTCCGGGAAGTAGCTGTGCCCACTGCAGAGCTCAGTGCTGTTTATCAACCTCTGTCTGTGCCTCAGTGAATCCTCAGCCTCAGTGGTGCTATCAGCGCTTGCATCGGTAGCCATCACGCAGCCAACCAGCTGGGAGACTGTCCCCCCAGCAGGGGCTACTAGCAGGTGTTGTCCCAATTAGAGATGTGAGACTTGTGAAGTGAACTGTTATGCATCCCAGGCAAATGATAAAAGGCCTGATGTTGCTAAAAGGTTCCATGTGACAACAGTGGCTCTGTTTACACCCACAGGTGCAGTCTCTTTACACTGCTCTGTTAAAGCAGCAAGAGGAACAAACAAGGGTAGCTCTGTTGGAACAGCAGGTACTTATTGGGGTTTCTTACTTCTAAATTTACTTCAACTTGTTAGAAAATAGTATTTTTCCTCAAGAACCATTTGAAAATTGTAGAAAATATGTTTTTTAAACTCTAACAGAAAATGCTTAAAGAGATCGTGCTAGCCATATATCCCTGTGATTGTTTTTATGCCAAACCAGATTCTCTGGGGTAAGATAGCAGTTTTCTTGACAGGTAGATATTCATCTTGTCAGATTTTGTTCTTCCTCAAAGACTCTTACAGTTCATATTCTGGCCTAACAGGATTTTTCTAATCACTTCAAGCAGAACTCAAAGAGACCATTTAATCTCAAAATCATAGTTTAGAGGTTTTTAAAACATTCCAAACTAGGGAACAACCACCTCTTTCCCTTCTCCCACTTCACCATAAGAGGAGGATGGGGAGAAAAATCCTAACTTGTTAAATTATTTCCACTTAGTTATACGTTCAGGCATTGACTTTGCTCCTTGGAACCAAATCTTCAGCCATAATCATCTTCATTTCTCAACATTTTTCTGTGCTCAGATGAATTCTTGCTACAATGGTACAACAGTGTTTCTTATGCTAATAAAAAAACTCAGGCATCCAGTCAAGAGACTTAGGCTGTATATACTAGCTGTAATTGTCTTGTCCTGGGCATTTTTTTCCAGATGCAAGCATGTGCTTTAGACTTTGAAAATGAAAAACTTGACCGTCAAAATATGCAGCATCAATTGCATGTAATTATTAAGGAGCTCCGAAAAACAAGGAATCAAATAACACAGTTGGAACCATCGGTGAGTCTGGAATGAATAAATTAAAACTTATTTTCTTCTTTCTCTTTCTGCCACCTTTCCATTTACATATCAAACCAGTTCCCAAACTAAGAGGATACAGCTTAAAGAACATCTATTTCTGTACTTTTCTTTGTGTTCCTACTGTCCATCATTTTCATAGTGTGCTGTAAAATACTTGCTTTTAAGCCTTACTGACTATTCTAAGTTCCTCAGGAAAAAAAATCATGAAAAAGGAAAGTCTCAAAGGTATTATACAATATCTTAGTCATTTCTGTGTATAATCTGTTTACTCTGCTAAAATTCTTTTCTATTATTAATTCCATGCAATTCAGCTTGCTGAAGTTGGCTGTATTTTTACCAAACTAGCAAATTTAGTAAGCCTTGCACACAGGCCTGCTTTACATTTGATTCTAGGCATTTTAATAAAACCTGTTTATATATACACCCAACCTTAGTAATTCGTGGGCAACTTGGTTAATTTATAACCAACTCCGATGTTACCACTCTAACATGATGACCAGAGGTTCAAAAGAAAACCTGTCTGCAGAACTGAGCAGGGATCACATTATCCAGTAGGCCTGATAAGCAAACTGTATTTGACATTTATTTTTCAGAAGCAACTTCGAGAGTTTGCTTTCACAGAACCATTAGTCACTTTCCAGAGAGAGAATGAGAACAGAGTGAAAATTGCCTCACCAAAAAGTCCTGCTGCTGCACTGAACGAAAGTCTGGTGGAGTGTCCCAAGTGCAATATCCAGTATCCAGCCACTGAACATCGAGACTTACTTGTCCACGTTGAATACTGTTCAAAGTAGTTTTTTGTCAAAAGAGTCAATACTGTATCTTATTTTAGCTTTACGGTCATTTTGAATTACTTATTTCATCTTTTTCATAAGAAACTGCCTGTCAACCTTGACTGGCATAGGAGTGATCATTGTATTTTTTTTTGAATGCTTAGATAACTAACATTTTGCACTGTTAAAAGTACTTGATGGAAAAAAGATAGTTCAGGTTATTGCTTATAGGTTAAATCTATTGACAGGCAAACAAATGCCTTATGTTTTTTTGTTTTAAAAGCTCAAAGATAGTTAAGCAAAGATCTTTATTGTATTTTAATTTTTCATTCAAGCTAAGCTGTCCACAATTCCAATTTAGATGTCCATTGTTAGGTGGTGATACTGACTTCATTTTTTTGCTCATTGTTATAGAAAAGTTAGGAATTTTCTTGGTCTCTATGCTGCTTATTGTTGAAACTGTAAGCCTAGCTATGTTCTAAGCGCAAAGCAGATTCTGCTTTAAGGAATATTCCTTAAGTGGCAACATACGACATTTTATGTCATATTAACTGACTATAACTTTAACTTGAATTTCACTAGCACATGTTGGTCAGCTAAAATTGTTAGAGTTTTAAAAAAAAATCTAATGTAGCCCTCTCGTTTGATTTTCAAATATTTATTTATTTTTGTAACCCATAAAAACTGGGCAATGTAATAAGCAGATTATCTCAATATATATTTTTATACGTGCTTCTGTAAATCAAAACATTTTTTTTATTTCTTCAGGTTTTCTAAAATGTTTAACACTGGGCCACTCTTTGCAATATAAAAGAGAAAATAAAGTTATTTAATGTCTTAATATGTCAAGCGTATAGATATATAGATAGGTATTGTAAGAGTTCTTCCTTGAGAGCAAAGCCAGAGGGTTACAGATAACAGTGTCAGATGATAAGGTAGTTAAGGATACATTGGAACTAAAATCTACACAAAGAAGGCAGAAGTAGATGCTTTCAGACATCTTTCTTGAATAGATAACAATTCTTGATCAATAAATATTATTCTGAGTTATTTGTTACAGAAGCAAAAAAAAAATAAACATGTCAAATTATATAGTTTGTTTTTGTCCATAGAAAGTGTACAGATCTGTTTAGGAAAATAAAATTTTACCCTTACTGTTAATCCAGGTATTCAGTGTTTTTAGCCACAGTTGGCAAAAGATAAAGAAATGCTATTCACCAGATGGTTTTTGTTCTATTCCACAATATTATGATAAAGACCATAGTATTAAATCAGAAATATATGCAATAAAGAAGTTGTTTTCCTTATAACTTTTAAGCAAACCATGCATTATTGTAGATATGGAAATGCCTTGGTCATTCAGTGAGTAATAATTAGGACCCAAATCCAGACTATTGGTCCCTGACTGTATGAACCAAGGGATATGGCCTCAAGAGAGCCTTGACTTACTGATGAAACAGAGGCCCAGATAGGGGAGTGGCTTATCCAGAATTACTAAGCAGGTTTGTAGGAAAGTGAGGCAGTTCCAAGCCCCAAAGGCAGTGGTTTTTAGAGTCCCTGCCGCTTAGCTCATATGCTATGATTCCAGCTAAATTACTTTTCCAGCCCCAGTGGTGTGTTGGTGTGTTCTCTATTTTTACTTATCCTCTGTTCTTTGCTGCTTTTGAGTCTAATATTTTCACTTTAGGGAGTTGAGAGGGAAATACTAGCAAACATCCAAAGATCAGTCAGGTGGTAGCACCCAAAAAAGGGTGGAAAGGTCGAAACCAAGAAAGGGGTTTGCCTAGAATCTAGAGAGACTGAGCCCTGGGACGCATCCTATGGTCCAGAAGTAGGGAGTTTTCAGAGAGAATCAAATTAATGTATCTCTTAACCCAACCAGAGAAAGAAGGAATGGTGTGCACTTAGGAGAATAATTTAGCATCAGATAATAACCTTCACCTTCTTGCCTGCGAGGCTCACTATATTGATTCAACTCTGGGAACAGTTCATCTTCCACTAAAATGTTTTAACTGGTGTTACAGGTGAGTAAGCACTGACTTCATCAGTTAATTCAGCCTCTGGATCTGTAGTAGGCGAGGTGCTGTGCAAGGCATTAGAGGTGTAGAGATGTGTACAGGTGGGTCCTTTAGCAGAGCCAAGGCACAGTGGACCTCAATGAGGAACAGTGATAGCACAGCGAAGTGCATCCCATTGGGGAACCAAGATGTCCCTACCATGGCCAAGGGAAGACAGGCTTTCTGAAAGACGTGGTGACTGAGTAGGTTTAAGAAAACAAATAATACTCAATTTTTAATAGCGTTTGTTCCTGAAACACTTACATTGAAAGTGAATCATTAAGCAGAGCCTAAAGAGAAACAGCCTGTATTCTATCGATCACTTTCTGATGACAGAATCGGTGTAGAGGAAGGGTAGTGTCATTGATTCAGATTCTGATACAGGGAGTGGTGTTCCTTTATGTCCTGTTAATCTAATGATGCTGAGACACATAAATGCAAAGATACAGAAAGAAAACTGTTTTGAATGCTAATATATCAGTGGAGATAACAAAATCAAAGTTTTTAACGGAGAAGAAAAAGCCTTAGAGAAAAATTTAGCTTTGCTGCTTGATTCAGTTGCAGGCTGCACCTCTGCCAATCTTGTATAGCTTATGAAGGTGTGCAATTTTGCTTGATTTATTTTTACAAGGTAGAGAGTAAGTGAAAGGGAGGGGAACCTGATATTGAGGATTAAGAGAAAACTTCCAGAATATATGATTTTCACTATAAATTTAATGGTCTCACATTTGCATATATGCTACAAACCCCTCCTCCTAAAGGAGTGAATTATGGGAAAGGGTTCTGTTTATTGGACACCAAAATGGAAGTATCTCAAAATTCAAACTTTATTTTGTTTTACCTTTGGAAATTTCCAGGAAGCATGTTACTGTGGAAGAAGCCCTGAAAGAGGAACCAGCAACCCTAGGGGTTACTGAATCTTTTTGATGCAGCAGGTCACTCTTCCAGCACCTCAGCTTTCTGGACTCTAATGCCTGCCTCTGCTGTCATCCTACGATGTCATGATAATCAACATTTATTTTAGGAGCTCCCCAGTAGTGTTTTTAGTATGCCAAGTGATATGCTAAAATACTTCCTATTGTCTACCTTTACCTCACAGTATTGGTGTTCTTATCACTGTCCTGTTATTCAGATGAGGAAGTCACAGGTTAGAGAGCTTAAATTACTTGTCCAAGGTCACATAGCAAAGAGAATGGCAGAGCCAGTATTTGAACCGCTGTGTACTTGCCTCTAGAGACTGAGTTCCTACCTCCTCTTCTATCACTCACTATAAAGTCAGAAAATGCACATGAAAGCACATTGCAGAAGGGCAAACGCTGTCCAGGATTATTTGTCTTTTTCAGCAATGATTATAGTGTGGATGGGAATGCAGAGATGAAAGTGACATTCCCCATCCCCAACTATCCCCATTTTATTCCTCCATCGTAACCACAATCTTCATCTCCACCTGCACCTACAGTAAGTCTTCATCTAACTGTTGGTAGTTTCTAGGAAACTCTTCAGACTTAAACTAAAAGCCTGTGTCACAAAAACAGATCCTCCAATAATGTCATTTTGTTTAGTGTTGGCCAGGATTGTTTTTTCCTTGTCAACAGTATAATGAAACAACACTGAAAGAATAATATCTTTAAAGGACCTGCTGTTGTATCAGCATAAAAGCATTCAGATGTAAATTACAGAACAGATTTGGTACCACTGGGGCATTTATTATTTGTCAAAAAAAAAAAAAAAAAAGGCTGGACTCAAATAATTCCAATGTAGATGTAGTAATCTCGCAAGTAAGGCTGTCATCTCTGTAATTATCTTGACCCCTGACTCATGCTCACGTAATGGCTGCTGCAATTCTGAACATCACAATCTAATGAGGCTTTTTCAAAACCGAAAGGCAGACAGCTAGTCAGGTCATAAATGAACACATTTTATATGCCTCTCTCATTTTATCTAATAAAAGGGAATTTATTGGAAATGGACATATCCAGAAACTCTAAAGTATACTTTCCTTACATCTCATGGACTAGAAATGAATTACATGGTATATTAGAATGGGTCAGTGCCTTAACACAATATAGATTTATTTCTAGTTCACCTCACAATTTTTGTGAGCTGGTGGCCTCCTTCACCTCTTAGCTACCCCACCTAGAACATGATGCCTCCAAGGCATTACAGCAGAGAGAGATGACGTGGGCAGCACCAGCCTAATTGTGCTGCATGGACAATAATGTACTCTGCTTGCATTCCTATTGTCAGAGCTTGTTCTGGCCCCACCTCCTACAAGTGCCAGAGGAAGGTAATAGGCCACCAAAGGAAACAGTTATGAGCTTCACATAGCTTCTTGTGCCTGCCATGGCCACCCCTAGACGTCAGAGAAAAAGGGGCTTGGAACCAGCTGCTGGGTGGGAGACTGTCACTCCTCATATCTACCTCCGCATTCACCAGGCTAGGAATCCTGCTTGCAAAGATGTGGCAGGGGGCCTCCCTGATGGCACGAGGGGATAAGTCTCAGCACTATGAAGCTATCTGCAACCACTGCAGCACAAGTTCGATCCCTGGCCAGGATACTGACCCACATGGCGCAACAGACTTCTCCTGTCTCACCTGCTACTCCCCTCAGCAGTGTATTTCAATCAATCTGCCTGTTCTGCTCCCCACTCTGTCTCTGGTGAATCCTCTCATACCCACACCTCTGGCCTGTACCCCAGTTCTTGTATGCATAAATAAATAAATCTTTAAAAAAAAAAAAAAGATGTAGCAGGAAAGGCCTTTCTCTGATCTTATTCTCATGCCTCCCTGTTCTAGAGTCATTTTCATTGAGTATTATATAATATAGTGACCCTGTTGCTATGGGAGTGTCACAGAGTGTAATTACACAAACCTAGGTGGTATATCCTCCTCCTCACCTGAGCTATATGGTATAGCCTGTTGGGACCAGGTCATAGGTTTAGTAGGTTGTTAAGCGAGATATGGCTGTAATCTTTCACTTGACTGTCATTGTCTTCCCCATCCCTCACCACCCCCCACCCCAGTGGACTGTAAGTTTCTTAAGATCCAGGTTGAATAGTTTAATAGGTATATTAGGTTTAACATTTAATATGCTTTTGGAGCAAGTGAATAGGGGTCTTTTAAAAACAATGATTTTAATTATTTGACTGTCTTTAAAAAACATCTCTTATCTTTAGAATTTCCAGTAAAATCATTGAGGGACATGAGGTATGAGTCAACCTTTAAACAAACAAGGGTGCAAATGTGCATGTAGCAGACTTCAAGAATGTGGCCATAAATCAAGTCAATATTTGATTAATGACAACAACATATGTAAAACATTCCTTAAGGAAACTGACATCTGAAAATTCACTTAGACCACCCTAAGCTCACTTTGCACTTTAACCACAACTACATCTCCAAGACCGAAAATGTTGAGAGTCCCTGGAATACCTAAAGAAGGCATCACGGTGATGGTGGCTGAGGCAGAGACTAAAAATAATAGGGTAGTTTGATTAATTTTCTTTAACAAATTTAAGGAAGTCATATGAAGGAGGTACATTAGCAGCAGAGATTACCATCATGAAATGTTTTAAGAAATAGCTATGTGCCAGATATCGTGCTAAGGACTTTAATTGCATTATCTAGGTTAATCTCAATGGTGCCATAAAGCAGTTGCTTTTATCATGCCCATGTTAGTGATTGGTACAGCAAGTTTCAGAGAGTTTAATAACTTCCCACACATAACTGCTAAGAAGGTGGTAGCAAAAATTGAGAACCAGGTTATTTCATTCTAAAGATGACAACTTTTAACCATTAAATGTTAGACTTGCTCCTAGATTCAAACTACTGAAAGAAAATTTCACAGAAGTTTTGCTCTTGCATTACTGTGTAATGGCACACCCCCAAATCTAGTGGCTTACAGCAAAAATTTAGTATTCCTTATCATGGTTTTTCAATTGGTGGGACCAGTTGGGTAGTTCTGTCTGAGAGTCTCTCCTGGAGTTTCAGTTAGATAGTATAGGGTAAGGAAAAAATGTCAGGCTTTTCTGCCCTCCCGCCATCAGGATAGATGATGGATCCTTGTGGTCCTGAATGCATGCCTGATGGCGGGCACCTGGAGTAGGGTATGGGCATAGGTAGATGGGATTCACCTGGGCTGAGACTGGGCTTTTAAGGGCGGCGTCATGTGGACGCCAGCAGAAGCTGAGGAAGAAGCAGAGAAAGAAGCTGAGAGAAGGTCGGAGAGCCCAGAGTGAAGACCTGCTG